CCAGTGTTATTGTCTGCAGAAAAGGCACACAGTGTTTTTGTTAAGTTCGTATCAACCAGAGGCATTACATCATAGCACTGGTAGGATGAAACTATCCCAGCTCTCTGTAAGATGGGTCCCAAAAGTCCTAGAAAGGAGTTGCTCCCCTTAACCTGAGAGAAACTGGGTCCCATGTGGTCTTGTTTCATGAAGGGAACATGAAAGCTTACTCTCTCTTTCAAAAGCAGTGTTAGGACTTACTCTGTGGATACCCAGGGCTCTATAATGATGAATAATAATGAATGCTCCAATGGGAAGAGCACTTCACATAGATGTGTGAATCTACAAGGTTCTAAAATTCTATAAAGTTACTGGAAAGGGGAAGTAAAAAATTACTATTATGAGTGTAATGTAATCAATACTGGGCACTATCATTCCTTCAGAGCTCATTCTCTTCAGGGCTCTTGTGTGTAACAGATTAAATGTGAATCCATTCAGCACTGGAAAATAAGAGCAAGATAGAAAAGAAGTACTATGGTGGCTGTAACGTTAGAGGTTTGCAAGACTGTCAAGGAGATGAGTTCCCCTCTTGCAGAAAGAGTGATCAATGTCATTTTAACACACACAAAAAGCCATCACACAGCTCAGAGAGCCACAGGGTCAGCTTTTGGTAATGCAAGCAGATTGCAACTAAAGAGGATTAAAGGATTACATTTCATTTATATATTCAATTGTCTATCTGCTTTTCTTACTGTGCCTTATGCAGCTCTTATTACCATAGTACTGGTGCAATTTGAACTTGGCCTTCTTAAAATGTACCGTTCTCAACTTCTCTGAAAAGGAAAAGAGTACTAATACCTGGTAGAAACTAAATGACATATAAAAATACGATGTATAGATGTATATTGGTAAAGCAAAATCAGGCTGCTCATATGAAAAAGAGTGTATGAGATAGGCTTGTGGGCTGTAGCCCCAAGGCCCCTTTTCTGTCTACTTATCCTCCCAGCTCATCAGAAATGTCTACAATGGATTGAAAATGGGAAGAAATTCTTTGGTGCTTACTCACTGCATTGATATGGAGAATAATGTCTCCTTTTGCTTGGATCTGGGTAGCCTCTGTGATGATTCTGACCCAGAAGGCTACGGAAGTGATGTTGTACTGTTATTTAAGACTTGGCCTTGAAGGGGACCAGGAACTAGAGAAAAGGTCAGTTTGAGTAGAATCAATGTAGAATGTAACACATATGCACAGGAAAGGAATTCGAGGAATCTCCCTGTATAGCTATCCTTATCTCAACTAGCAAAAATACTTGGTCCTTCTTATTATTGTTTATACTCTCTCTTTAACAAAATTAGAGATAAGGGCAAAACAGTTTTTGCCTTGAAACTAGGGGGTAAGGGGAAAAGGGAGGGGGCAGGGGGGATAGGGAGACTGCCAGGGGAAGGGGGGAGAAATGACCCAAACTTTGTATGCACATATGAATAAAAGATAAAAAAAAAAAAAAAAAGACTTGGCCTTAAGAGATTTCAATGCTTGTTCTTGAAGCACTGGAAGCAATGATGTGAGAAGTCTGTATCCCTGTGGAAGAGATCCCTTGGAAAGACCTGAGAGGAGCTGGCTCAGTCCAGCCTTCTAGCTATCCCTGCTAAGGGTCTACCAAGTGGCCATTGTTTGAAGTCATTAATTTTAGAGCAATTTACTAACTCATAATAGATAACCACAACTTGTCCTAGAACAAGAGTGGCACTTCTTTCAACTAGCTAACTTAGGCCCACCTCCTGCTTCTACAAAGCTTGACGGGAACAAGCCACTCCCATTGTTTACATATTGCTTACTGCTGCTCAAAAGCATTGTCAAGTGGTTTTGCAAAGGAGACCATGGGGATTACATTGCCTAAAATATTTACTATTTGACTCTATACTAAAAAGTTTTACTGACCCCTCTCCTAGAAAAAAGCTTTACCCATGAAAATCCATCATTTTCTCTCCAGGAGAGGGTTTAATAGCTAGCCATTGCCATTCACCATGTAAAGTTTCATTAGGCTAGGACACAAAGATCTTATGCTGATTTTGGCCATGGTACATGACCTTTTGAAAGCCAGTTCACTTGTCTTGGTCTCAGTTCTCTCATTTGTAAAATAAGGAGATTGGACAGGATTAGTCTTTCCCTTGAAGTGTTCCATGAAACACTAGACCTACAGGATGCTCTGCAGTCACACTATAGGGGAGGCACTCATGCTACCTATCTTATTGGAAATATAAAATCCCTATATACATAGCCAGGGTGCCCCAACAAAGAAACCAGACTACCTTTGTTTACGTAAGTGCTTTCTCAAACATTTTTTTTTGTTTCAGGGTTCTTTTCCTATACCACCTGCTGTCATCAGAGAGAACCCATATTGTAAAGAACACACTATAGGAAACTCTGTATTGGTACTCTTTAAGGTCTATTTTTGCTCTAAATTGTCCTTGAATCTAGGAATCATTCTTCCAGCTATAGAGAGGTAACATTTTTTTCAGTGTTCTTTCGGACATCCTTTTGCAAAAACTTGTCTTTAATTTCTTTGCAATGTGAGACCTTGCTAGTGAAATCTGCTGGCTTTCCACACTGGAGAAGCAGTGGCCAATTAAGCAAATTCTCCTAAAGGAATTCAAATGACACAATGATCACTAATCTCTGAATGACAATTATAATTATGGTCTGGAAGTAAAGGGACAAATGCAGACACATTTTTAAATTGCTACTGGCTTTTATAAAAAATTTAATCTCTGAAGATTTCTTCATGTGTGCCAAAATAAGAGTGTATGGTTCCTTCTTAGCATTACAAATGCTACTCATACACTACCAAATATTTAGAAAATGTAAAGTGTCAGGTAACCTGCCTTATTCAGGCTGCTTCTTAAAATGCCAGGTTATCTGACCAATTATACAAAAGAAGGAAATGAAGATAATGATAGGGCAAGGCAATCCTACTGGTGCATTTGGCTGGTTGAGATTCCTGACTTGGGGACATGACTTAAAGTAGCTCTTAGCATTGCTTGCATGTAAGAATGCACATGACTTTTCTTGGTTCCACCTATTTCAGATATAACAAGCCATACTAAACGTGCAGCTACTCAATGATCAACAGCTAAAATACCTCAATTTTGACAGAGACAGAGAGATCATACGTCCTATCACATAAATAAAATCTTATTTTAGGCACAAAACCCCTTAATTTTCATAGGACACAAGTATTTTCTCTAGTAATTATTAGGAAGAAATGTTAATAAACCCACTCTCATAAAAAAGGCATTTTCTCCAATAAATCTCTTGCACATCTACTGCATTTATGTGTCTGCTTTCCAGAATACCAAACTGATATAACTATCCTTATAAGTTTGTCCTAAAATGAAAACTAAAAACAGTTTCTGACTATTGGTATCTGGATAATAAAGTTTGTCTTCTTTCAATTGTGAAGCATCACAGGGTCAGGGGCTGGGTGACATTTCTTTCCCATTTTCTCAGTGCCCTCATCTAACATTCCACTGTGTAAGTGGACTTTATTACTAGGTAATGTGATGGCAGACTTCTCAATATAGAACTCCAGGCTCCAAACTACGCAAATTATCTGCAGGGAAGGTAAGCAGGGTATGTGTGTGTGTGTGTGTGTGTGTGTGTGTGTGTGTGTGTGTGTGTTTGGAAGCCAGATAGATTTAGATCTAATCTTAATTTGCTATGTGACATCAGGGAAATAATTTAACCCTGTTTTCACTTGCCTCAACTATAAAATAGGGATTATACTGTCTATCTTACTAGGTAACTGTAAGGATTACAGACCACCGTGCAAGCATCTAGCACACCAGCTGGCTCATGGTAAGCATCTAATGGAAGGATGCATCAGTACTCCTCTTTCCTGTACATCCTTTGGTTCATTCAGTATTCAACACCTATTTTTTATGGGCCCGCTATGAAGGGAAGTGAAATACAACAGTGAACTGGGGAGGCACAGATCCTTATAGAGTCTCACTAACTAGACATGGCATGGAGTGGTTACTCAGCAATGACAATGGAAACTTCTAAACAGTGTGTGTTGCCTGACAGGCACTATTCTAAGAGCTTCACCATATAGTCACTCATTGAATCCTTACATAACTCCACAAGGCAGGTGCTTTCCCAAGATTACATTACTAGTCAGTATGGATTTGAACATAGGCATCTGGCCCCAGAGTTTTGCTTTTAATAGTCTGCTGTGTCTCCTCTCTAAACATTTGAATTAGATTTTGTGTTTCCACAGAGCATAAATGATCCTTACACAAAGATACAAAAAAATCTAGTAAATCAATTGAGTAAAAAAGACAGTTATTTGCTTTACAGGAACATAAGCACAGAAATAGTCAATTGAGCAAGTGGAGGACTGACTGGCCACCAGTGACCCAGTGCCCTGTGACAGCCGTCACCTCCCAACCTCCATCCCACCACTGCTTGCTTTCTAGCCCAGCAGTAGTCTTCTAGCAATGTCACTAGAAGAAAGGTTGCTATAATATAGTTTTTTTTATCTCACTCAACCCTGACCCTTTCATCTTCTATAACCACAGGGCTCCTCTAGTTCCAATCAATTTTCAACCTTCAACATCATAATCTTTTATGCCTGCCAGAACCTTCTGGCAGAAAAGTTAAAGGAAAGTCAAACTGGCATGTTCTATTTTGTTCCTTTCCTTTCTTAAAAGTGCCCACGTGACTGAATGCTGCACACTAACTGGTTTCCTGAGTGTTTGCAACATAATCAACATAGCAGAAAAGGAAGCAGGATCAGATATTAAGTTCATTTCTTATTATGAGGCAGACATCATCCCATTCTGGATGCCTGAGCACAACCAATGTGACAGCAGCAGCTTGTTCTAAGAAATCCTTAGATTTACGACAACATGCTGCCATCACCATCATTCTAGAATAAAAATGACAATGCGAATATGGAAAAAAAAAAGAACTCTCCCTCTTCTAACTAGTCAAGAATGATTAGGACTACACTTGTACTTACAGGAGGGCATTGTGCAAGTTTATCAGCAGCCACCAGTTGAACATTCAAGTGTTTGCTTTGTGACTTTCCTCTAGATTTAATCAACCGCTGTAAAACCTGATAGAAGAAGACATGAACTTCAGGCACTGTCAATGAGTTGAAAGAAAACCAAATAAACAAGGATCTTAACCATTTGTTTAGTACTGAGGATTAGTAAAGAGGAAATACAATGTGCAAAAATGATATACTATATAAATTCTGCAATGATATCATCCACTTACGCTGGCTTTCTGTACAGTGGATTTGACAAGTCCATCCTTTTCTAGCTCTGTGAGTGCTTAGTGGGATCTTGAGTTCCCAGTCTAGATTTTGATATCTCTTAGAGGTTTCAGGAGCCCTCCAAAGTGGACGAACTGCTTTGTTCCAGGCTATTTTTGTTGAGTAACATTTTGATATTATTCAGTTGAGTAATATTTTGGTCCACTACTTCCATGTCATATAAATATCAAATTCAGTTAGATATGTGGTTCTTTTTATCACTGATAATTAATGATACATTTCAATTTAATTTTACATCAATCAGACTATTTCATGATTGGCTATTTCATAAGCTAATGATGTATCTATGCCTTTCGGTCACTGCTGTAGCTACACTTGGCCATATACTCTACTCTTCTTTAATTTTTTGTTAATCTGAAACAAGGACCTCTCTCCAAAACAAAGAAGTGCTCCTTCATTTCAAGAAGCATAGTGACTGGGGCTGAACTTCTCCTTCACTGCAGTGGAGGGTGCTTGAATCTCCAAAAGCATGGGTCAAGGCACCTCCAGTAGTCAAGGCAATTTCATTCCATTCTACTAATTCCCCAAGGGCCTGGTTTGGTTGGGATGTCCCAAGGTCGCCAAGCAGAAGCAGTGCCTGTGGAGATGGCAGGCTGAGGACACTGGAAGGCTGGAGAAGACATGGCTTCTTTAGACTTTCTCCACCCATGAAAGGAGACCATTACTCTAGTGGGGGTTGAATTTGCATCTAAGCAAATAAGTACATCTTAGGAGACTCTGAAAAGAGATTGATTATTACAATAATAATAGCTCATATTAACTTTTTAGAACATGGTCACTTTATAAAAATGAAAGGACATCCAGTGGCATAAACATAAATAGCAAATTGTGCTTAAATATGGAATAACTATATTCCTCCAAGATCCCAATCTAGAACAAATGTCAAAGTCTGTAACATTTCCCTATGAGAGGGTTACACAGTGATATTTCACCTTATGTAAGATACATGTAGATACCTTTCTTGAATCATGTTCTCTCCCAACTGAGAGATTCAAGAAATTCAATTAATCAAGAAATTTACCAAGATGGAACCTATAGTCTACCTTTCCTGGCCTTAATTTCTGGGTTTCTATTGTATATGTATACAACTGTCTGTTTTGGGCAACACAATAGACAGTAAACTTCCTGAAGGAGGTTGTTATCTCAAAATTCCTAGAAGCTGTACACTATTTTAAAATGTGGTCATAAACAGAATCTCCGTAAGACATTGTGCTTGCTCACCAACAAAAAGTACAGAGACAAGAATATTTCAAAAGAAATTTGCTTCTAATCCTTAAAAATAAAATGAGTTGGTTACCTTTGGAGATGAGACTTTTACATGAACAATAATTGGTGCTAAGGAAGTCTTTATAAGTTGTGCTGGGTGATTGATGGTGTCAGCATCAAGGACAACCAATTGCAAAGATCTCGCCAATTCAAAGATTCTTTCAATTTCACTTTGCACTTCCGCTAAAAAGAGAAGCAATAAATAACAGTTACTGTTAATCACTCATAATATCATACTAATAATCATACTAATTCATATAAAAATAAATAGTACACCTTTGAGATGTGTTTGGCTACATTACAAACAGAATGTTTTGAATTTTCATTGTCCTGTTTAAGATTTTTTCTAAAGACAGAGATGGGTTGAGTTTTGCATAAAACAAAACCGTGGGAAAATTTGAGATCACTCTCTTGATTTGCTGCTTCCAGTCAACCTGTATACTCTACCAGATATATGGCTATAGTGATTATTTTGCTTTTGATTGTTACTTTGTTCTAAAGAACTTCCATTTCAACTATTGCAGCTGAAACCACATTTAGAAAACTGAAATACATGTGCTAAGCAAAGTCAGAAAAAAAGCAAATGGCATTGAAATATTTCTACTGATAAGTTATATATTAAAATTTGTGTAGAAATGCCTTTTGAAAGCCTTCTGCAGCTCACTTGTTTTGACTGTTTGCACATTTTTGTGCCCCTAATTATTCTGGCTTTCCTCTTACAATTAACATATTACCAAATCTAACTGAATTATAGTATTAGAGCCAGTATAAGGCATAATAATCTTCAGTATTGTTTTTAAAAAGCAACTAAGGCTAATTATATTAAAATATTGCATTGCATTGCATCTAGATGCAAATCTATTTGGCTGGATGTAATAGGCAAATGCACAAATCAGTTTGTAAGTTTGGTCAAATGAAAAATCTAGTTCTTTTCAAATACCTGAAGCAATCCAGCTATTATTTTTTTCTGAGATACGTTCTCACATAACCTAGATTGACCTTGAACTTCTGATCTTCCTGCCTCTACCTCCAAGTGCTGGTATTATAGGTGAGTACCACCACACCCAGCCAAGTGGTTTGTTTGTTTGTTTGTTTGTTTAAAGGATAGATGATCAAACTAATTATGGTTTTCTGGAATACAAAAAACTAATATAGTTCATAAATCATCTGGTTTATTGGATCATGTCTAAAGTCTGAATGAGACTTCTTTATATTCAGAGAGATAATCTTGCTTTGTTAGTTTTGTTTTTTACTTATTTTTGTGACTGAATGTGTGACCTAATAATGTTGTAATCTGGTCTAAAATACACACAGTAGAAAAACCTACTTAAACTATATCAAAGATAGCCTAAAAGGTAATGCTGCTCTTCTCATTGAAAAAGGTTTATTCCAGAATTCTATGACTTGCTTTGTTTACCCAGTTCAAATTCAAGCTTGTATTACCCTTCCCAAAATTCTCTCTTCCTTAATAAAAAGAACTGAATTGATAGACATGCAGGATCATGAATACTCAAGACTATCATGAAACTCATTGGGGAGGGGATCTGCACAACAGCAAAACATTCCTTTTCTCCATAGAATCACCGGTATCTAATGCATTTCTACACTAAAAGTATGAATTTAAAGAGTCAACATATCTATCACTTTTCATATTACCTAATATCAGTGGCCTGAAAGGTGACTAGATTTCAAGATATCAATTTAAAGAAACTGGACCAGGTGGTTTATTTGCTAATTTCTTCTAAAATCATATTCTATGTTTGTTAGAAATAATAAATATATTTTCCCTCTTTTTCGGACATGTCAGAAACAGTTTAAAAAGAACTTTTTCTTAAGAAGAAAGTTTGGAAAATGAAGTTAAATTTTCACTCTCAGGATGTTGAGGTCTGTACTTTATTTGCTGTTTTCATTAAACTCCCACTGATTTAAGGGAGCTTCTGGCCAGGACTATCCCAAAACAAGTCTACATTGTTTAACTGAAAATCTGAGGGTATAATATTTTCTGAAGCAGCAAAAAGCCAGTGATACAAACTGGACTGTCCTGGTACAAAGAATTCCTCAAGGCACTTCAAGTCTCTGTCTAAATAATTCCAAAATGCCTGGGCTTTACTTGCTCTGCACCAGCAATGAAATTACACATGGTTTTTGCTGGGAAAAGTGGAGCTTGGGTATAGGAAGCCAGGAAGCCGCACATATGGAATATAATAAGTAAATTATCTGTATGAGGAAGAGAAAGCCATTTTTATCTATATAACTCACTTTCTTCAAGAAAAAACCCTCAACCAAACCAAACAATCTTGGCTATACAGACTGCTTCTCAGAAGAGTTTCAATGTAGGCTTTTTCATAATCCTATTTCAGACAAATAGAATTCCAGACAGTTGTAGACTATGGTGCTGGAGGCCCTAAACAAATACTTGTATAAAATGACCACAAAAGATGCTGGGCCACCTTTCTAATGTCTCTATGACTAATGATTAACCCTTTACCCAAATCTGCTCATATTTCTCTCATAGGCCCAAGACAACATTTCCCAAAGTGAGAACCAAGAACAAAAATCCCCTAAGATTTCCTGTGAAAGAAGGGGGTTTTATGCAAGGGATATATTGCATACTAGAGTAGCTTCTTTCGGAATTTCAAACATGTACTACCTTTTGTATCTTAAAGACTGTTGGTAGTCTTGCAGTAAAGAAATCTGCTAACTGTTCAATTCATCATTTCTAAATTTGTTTGCCCATGGAAAACACGTTTGAATGCAGTAACTATTAGTATGTTATGAAATAAACAATTCACATAATCTATTTAAGACATCTCTTTAGTAAAGCCCTAACAGATTGGCTTCAATCTACTTTTTCAATACATTAAAGGTTGCTCTCAAGTCCTCCCCCCAGTTTCTCTAAGCATGTTATGCACAAATCTAGTTGTTTCTCGATCACACAGTGCTTTTTTATATGTCGGTATTTTTGTACATTATTGTTCTTTGAAGAACCAGACCAAAGTAACTGTTGTGAAATTTTCTCATACACTTCTCACTCCAAGCCCTTCTTTATCTTCTAGCTCTTTGTTCACAATCCTATGAACCCAGAGAATTTTAACCACTGTCATTCCCTTCTTTCTCTTTGCTCTTGGATAAGATACTGTGTCTTAGTTATGTGTGTATTTCCTGAGCACATAACAAGTGCTTAAGTTAACTAAACATTTGATGAAGGATTCTACAAAGTGCATTTACAAGCCAACAAATGGACACAAGCGATTTGCAGAGTGGCGATTATAATAGATTGCCATTAAATTAACTTCAGTGGCAGTGGGTATGACTTCATAGAGTAAAGTTTAAAAAAAGGTGAATTAAGATCTGTGCTTGTTCCTCAATATTTATACCACTCCCCCTTCTAATCCACTGACCAATGACTGCCTTCAGGGAATATCCATGAAACCCAGGGCCAATCCCGATGGTTGAAGGATTCAGGCAACCTCACCTATGTTTTTCAGTGTCTTTTAGCCTCTCATATATCAGAGTGGTTAAAAGTCAAAGGCACTATCAGGAGTCAGAAGGAGAGTGAAGAAAGAACAGAGAACAGATGCTTGTGGGAGAAATTTTCAACCAATTTAATGTGTCTTTCACTCATAATATTTGACTTGACTCAGTTACCTAATCTGATTCACCATCAACATTGTCATTGTCACTTCCTCAAGGCCAAAATACTGTGCCTTTGTGGATGTTTCACTTTGTATGTGAACATACATACAAAGGACTGAAGAACGAACCTCTGATCTCTGGGGTCTCCCCCTCGCAAACATTGACAAGTATTCCATTTGGTATGATTAGCAATCTTTCTAAATGCAACTGTCCAGCAAATATTTATTGACTGTGTGCCAGTCTTGTGGCAGGAACAGAGATGGTGCTTTGATTCTTCTTTCCATCTTGCACAGTCCGTGGGGCAGGGTCACGGCACAGCCTGCAGTGGATTCTGGATGAGATGTTAGGGCATGCACTTTATCTTGGAAACTCTAATTCTATCATCTGTAGAAATCATCCCAGTAGGTTAAAAAATGTAGTGGCATAGAAGAGCCCTATCTTTCCTAGTTAAAACAAATTGCCCTCAGAATGTGCGCGCAACAGAGAATCCTGGAAAGTGTTGCTTCACTCTTGACAATCATGGAACCCATGAACAGGCTTTCAAGATGAATGATTCACCAGCTGCATGGACTCACTTCTATTCACAGCCCCAACTCATCCACAACCTATTATTCTTCTCTGAATTTTAGGGTCCTTTCTGAGTAGTGCACCGGAAAAGATGCTTAAACTCTCTGCCTGTTAGTAACAGCACTTGTCATTTCCACTTAAGGGTGTGACTTCTGTGTACTACCAGCTGGCAACACTATGGATACCATTACCTAGCTTTCTTCTAAAGATCTGAGCAAGCTGAACATCTCATTTCCTCTCATGCCATTTGTGACTCAGGTATGACAGATACCATTAGTCTCATTGAGAAGCTTAGACAAAACGGAGATGAGTGGTTTCACATGGTTAGGTAGTAACAGACCAGGCAAGCCCATGGAGAATTCTTCTCACCAGACTACTAATTAGCTAATTGACTAGAGATGAGAGAGAGAGAAAGAGGCACACATCCTGGTTTTAAAGCACAGCTTGGAGAAGTATCACATTTGAACATCTTACCTAAGCTGGACCTGGTGTTCGAACGTTCAATTATTGCTCTCTTACTGGGATTATTTAGGACAGACCTCTTAGCAAGAGAAATGTCAGCTGTCACTCTTGTTATTGATATCCTATGAAAGGGAACACAGAACAGAGCAAGCCAGTAAAAATATTATGGGGCTTTCCAAGTGGTTTATAACCACAGTACTTAATAACTACTTTACATACTACAGTTGAACCACAGAATTATAAACATTGGCCACAAATATATTAAACAGGCTTTGGCTAGTATTATAACACAAGCAGAGCAAATGGAGAAAGGGTTTTGGCTATTTAACTGAAAAACTACTCCAGTAAAAATGCTCTTCCTCCATCATGGCCTGTGTTGCCAATTCCCTTCATAATGTGCACCACACCAGGAGGGAATCAAAATATATGAGTAAACAATGCTCTTTGTAGGATGCAGCAATAGAGTAAACTATGCTCTTTCTAGGAAGCAGCAATTGAATTTCCTCATAATTCACAGTTGATTTGCTGTTGAACAAGACCTTCAGGAACTACAAATGCTCTGCCCAGCATTTCAATGCTGCTGGCCAAAGGGGGGAAATCCTTTTCGGTTTGATCATCAATGACAATCAACCAGTTGGTGGCTAAGTTGCATTCTTTGTGCTCGACAGTTAATTGGTGATACATGAAGCATTTCTCCACAGGCCCAAAGAGAGGCATCACTGTGGATCTGAGAAGGCGGAGATGACTGTGAAAAACATGGATTCTTTTCTGCAGGCATAGGAGTCTTCAGAATATTTGCATATGACTTTGAATACATATGGTGAGCAGTCATAAGACAACACAGCACAGGTGAGGTCTGTGTGAGTGTTGTGCCAGGATTTTGGTAAGTGAGAACGTATCCTGCACCTGCAGTCGTGGAAGAAAAGAATAAAGCAAAGGCATGGTAAATGGAGAGGGAGCTATTTGAATACGATTTATCAAATAAGAGCATTTGGAACTTACAGTTTGAAAACTCTTTATTTTAAATTGGGATTGCTCAACTCCCAGCTATTATCTACATGTAAAATTCAAGTTCACATTTTTTTCTAAAGCAGTTGCTACTATCACAATGGGCCTTTCCCCATCCTCTTCTTCACTGCTTGGTAGAGTTCCCAGAAAGGGGACAAGAAAAGTAGCAGTGCCTCCTTTTGTTACTCAGTGAGTATACCTATCCTCCTCCGCATCTGAACTCCTTTGGAGGTTGGCACACGGAAGAGAGTAGAGTTATTAATGAATGATTACGGAATCACATCATCTCCCAGCTGTTTTGGAACATTTTTCAATGCTCTCAGGAGACCTTTTACCTGACGTTAGTAACCTGAAGACTTGGGGAGAATTTAAAATAGTCCTTTTCATAAATGGCTGGATATCACTTTTTTTTCTTTTGACACAGGTTCTCTGTATGTAGCTTAGGCTGGCCTTGAACTCAAGATCCTCCTGCTTCAGCTTCCCAAGAGCTAGTATTATAGGCGTGCACCACCATGATCAACTTGAAAAATCACTTCTTTAAAGTAACAGGCTTGGCAAAAGTTCTGGTCCCATTTTATTTATTTATGTATTTATTTGTTGTTTGTTTTTAGTATAGAGTAATTGTACAAAGGGGTCCATTACATGTGCACATTTCCATACATGTGCATACTGTGTTTTGACCATATTCACCCCTTTTATTACTCTTTCAAGCAAAGTTCTGATTGCTTGTGTCATTGTATTTATACTCTGTAGGTAGATGGAACATTGCAAATTTTTAAACTTTTCAGAATTTTTAGGCCCTAGTAATTCTTTGATACATCCTCAAATTGTCCTCTGCACAAAGCAGAGTCTTGCAGAAGCACCTCACAAACCATATTGAACACTGAAGGGAGGTTAAATTGGTGGGGCTCCAGTTTTCTACCCACAGTGCCAGCAAACACCTTCACATTTCTGTTTTCTATACTGAGTCTGATATATTACTGTTCAACTGCTGAAAGATGTCAGAAAACACTGGTGTGACAACTTCTTCATTTTACAAGAAGGAAATTGACACAGGCTAAGAAGATATAAACTAGACCCTTGAGACCAGGCCAGAGTTTAATCACCTGGTTCCATAATTTTCTTTCAGTTCAGTTTTTTTTTTTAATAAAGCAACCTCAGGTCTCCAGATAGGAGCCCAATCATGAGGTGTAGGTGCACAACCTTGGCCTTGCTCTAAGAGATGGTCAGTTTTTAAATCAGGTGGAAGTCAGGCCTCACATCTGCATCTCCATTACTCAGTTGCCCACTGCAGCACAGAGGCATGAAATCTCATAGCAGCTCCTTTTCCTTACAAAACAGTGTTTGTGTATTTATTGTTGTCCTTCTGGGTTTCTTGTTTGTTTTAAAGAACAGTTGCTGGATGAAACATCCTGTTATGTTCCAGAACAATCCAAATATGTGTCTAAAGAAAAAGTGGTTGACTTCAGAACAAAATCAAACTTTTCTATTTGCTAGTTTGTTTATTTTCAGACAGTCTCACTGTGTAGCCCACATTAGCCTTGAACTTGAGATCCTCCTGCCTCAGCCTCCCAAGAGCTGGGATTACAGATACGTAACACTACATCTTATTCTCGATTTTTTAGAATAATGATTTCTGGTGGGCCCAAAGATGCTCTTCTGTTTAAGCAAAAATCCAGTTTTCTAGCTCTGTACAAGTCAAATAACAATTGTTGGCTTAAAATTTAAGGGAGTTATCAGCAGATGTACACCCTTTTTTTTTTCCTGAGTTAAAAAAGCACTTTTACAAAGCCATTTTCAAACACAACCAAAATTTTAAAAATATAGAGAAAAACTGCTTCATATGTTAAAAATAGAGGAAAAGATGTGAGCAATAGAGAGTTTTTTTCTTGTTTGCTAATAAAAATAGACATGTATGAGAAAGACCTCAGGGAAAGATAGACACAGTTGTAGGAACCCTTAAATGAGAGAAAGTAGGAGTTTATCTTTCAAAGCTGCTCACTATTATCAAAATTAGACACCAGACTTGAAATTCTTCTTTTATAAAAGGCCCCCCCAACAAGGTAATTTCATTCACTATCAAATGCTTTCTAATTCATAGACATTTGTAAATTTATAGTGTCCTTTCTACTTCTTCTCTTGCTATATTCATATCCCCTGGTGTCTTTCAGCACTCCATGCATCTTATTTGACAGACATTTCTACCAAGTTCCCTGGGAAACCTTGCTGTGATGTCATGTTACTAGTTACTGACTAGTAGATGAAAGACTAATAGGAATTCAGTTCCTAGCAGACTGGCAAAAGCAGTGAATGTCCCTGAAAACTATCAAAAAATAATTTTCTAAGTGCAGTAAATCTGAATCCCAACTGTTGCTTATGTCTACATTGGAATTCATCTTAATTACTGCAATCTATTATGACTGTCATAATTAGTTTTCTGTGATTTTTCTATGGAAAGATAATACTTTCAGTTATCACACATTCATTCAAAAATAATTAAAATTTCCATGTTGGTAATGTAACAGCTCTAGTCTCTAGTCTATCTTTGCTACATTTAATAAGCACCTCATTCAGTTTAATATTAAAAAAAAAACAGCTCCTACTTTTCACTGAGGAAAGTGTTCCAAAGAACAGAACATCACACTGTCAGCAGAATAGGAGTGAAGGGGACAGGAAGACCTAAGGATGTCCCTGGATCTCTCTCTTGGTGTTTGCATGACTGAGATTCATCATGCCTTTATTTCAACCTTAGTATTCTAATCAATAACACGGTAAGAGCTGATTTGTCATAACTATCTCATGGAGTTGTCATTAGGAACAAACAAGGTAATATATAAAAGGGCTTTCTTAAGTTTTTCTTAGTGTCCTATGTTAATAGGCACATATGTAATATGTACAAGACAAAGAGTTAGGAAGATTTAAAGACTTGAAGGAGACAGTTTCCTTATATTCTATCCCCAAAAGTGAGTAGTGTACCATGTGAAATTCATATATGCTGAGAGGATGGGTAAATCAGACATGATGTAATCAAAATCTACTAATTTAAGCATTTGAGTTGAGCTTAGAAGTGTTCAATTATCTCTAGTGTTTGAGTGTCCACCAGTGAACCAGCTTTTGGATAGGCAGTAGTGAGAGGATACGATAAGAAAGGAGTCACTGTCACTCTTTCCATTTGCTAACTGCAATTATACATTGTTTTCATTCTCACATGGCTTGGCTGCTTTGTGATCTCATCAATTGACCCCAATTCCTTTCATCTCTTAGCCTCTCCCTAAGTTGTATCCTTAACTTCTTCTCTTTCTAATTATTTCTCTTCCCATCCTCCCCCTTTTTTTTTTTTTAACACGATCCCTGGCTAACAGCTTCCTTTTAGCTTAGGATTCCATCCCTGTAGGTTTCATGGTAACCATTTAGGATTTTAAGCCATGATGGTGCTAGTTATAAAGTGTCTGATAAATGCCATAGAGCTGATCTGATCCAGCTGTCAAAAAGCCTGAAGTAACAACTTGTAGGGAATTTGAAATGATTGGCATAGGTCAACAAACCACAACTGCTTTGATGCTTGCTATTCAGCATAAGCATGGTAGAGTCAACGAGCTGAACCACTCTCCTTAGAAAGGATGATCCCTGAGAACGCCTGCGGTGGGAAATGAAGACAGCAGCTCTGTGCCCATTGTGCATCCTTGCCAAGCCAAATGCCACTGTGACAGGTTGTGAGGCTTACCTTGTTTATGGTCTGTGCGCAGTAATTGCTACTATACGTAGATATTCATATATAGAGAGTGTCCTCAGGAACTACTTAATATTATGCTTTTCATTTTTCTGACATATATTACAATTAGGCCCCACAACAGCATCCACAGCAGTAAAATTGTATAATAAGTAGGTCTAAGCTGATTCAAATAATTTCTAAGGCATCACCCAAATTTATGATTCTGTAAAAGTCAACCAGATGGAGTTTAGTCTGCTTCATTGAATTAATTTCTAAATAAGATTTGAAAAGCAGTTTTGACTAAGAGAGCCTCTTAGCAAATGGATCCCTTCTTTGCTCATTCTGAAAAAAAATAGGACTTTCTCCTAAGGATTTTGTCTAACCAACTGCATTCAGAGTCAATGAAACACTGTAGGCTTCCATTAGAACATATTGTTGATGCTGTATCACTATGCAAAAGCCTTCTGTGTAATTGGTCTCTTGGCCGGTTTTTATTAAAGAATGTGTGTTGTTTTCTCTTCTTTTATTAATTGGTAAAAGCCAGCAGATTGCTTCAAGCCATTGTGTGGATCCTCCCCACACAGAAGACATGTCAGAATCAGTCACAGGCTCCGGCTGACTTTTTCCTTCTACACAAGTGTCCACATATTCTCATTGGTTTTCCTGCTGCTTGGCCTCTCCTCATTTGAAAGCAGGTCCATTTTGTCACCCCCCCCCCACCTTTAATATCTTTCTCCAATTCTTCTGTACCTCGTTCTTCTCCAGGGCCATCTCTATCTCCAGCTGGCACTTCTGTTGCTGCTGGATTTTTTTCCTTCAGATTTTCTGGCATGTTGTCAGACCACATAAACACCTGACATTGAAAAATTTAGTTCTATTGCTATTAAAACCAACTTTGGTAGAGTGTTATTGTAATAGATACAGATGCTTCTACTAGATTCAAGAGAAACCTCTGCTGCTACAGGAAAATGAACTGCCTCTTTCTGGGCCTCAAGAATTGAGGAAGACATCAGATTCTTCATTCTTGAAGCCAGTAATTAAGTCATTCACTTTCTCTTTGCTAAATTATCTGAAATCCTTTCTCCCGTTCCACCAGTTCTATCTTTCAAACCTCTAATAACACTGTTTATGTATATAGGTATTTATGTACAGATCAAAACAATCTAACACAAATGTAGGCTGTGATATGTGAAGGGATTTGTTCAGTTCAAGGGCTGGGATAGGACCAGAGCACGGAGCACTGTTTACAAAGACCTTTGGAAAAGGTGGCATGGGTTAAAACCAAGTGACTCTAACCAAATGCAGCAGAACGAACACTGCATGTACAACCCAGAACATAAGACTGGGCCCATCATGTTAGCTGCTTTCAATCTGTGGGGAGTTACGTGAGGGTCAGCCCAAGGTCACTATTAAAGAGTCAGTAAGGGTTTAGCTGTTTTTTTAATAAGAAATTTTTAGGAAGTCAATTCTCAGCAGCCAAAAGTTTTCAAACAGAAGCAGGTGTCTAACTGAGTGTGGTGGTTGGAAAAGGGAGATTAGACTGAAAGAACTTCATGCTTACGATTCAGTTCTTTTCACTTGTTTTCTTTGAAACTACTTTGCTTGATTTCTTAAAAAAAAGATAGTGTGTGATAATCATGTCCTTCTTATAAGCCCTTTGCATCCACTAGATGACTGCTACAGATATTGTTCAACAAAATCTATTTTCTCAGACTCCTCTGCAATTGGGTATGGCCACACGACCAACTTCTAACCAATGAAGTATGAGATAAGATGTGTACTACTTCCAGGCCTTACCATCTCCCTTCCTCAATCAGCTGGCTGGAAAGAACACCCCCAGGCCAAAGTCCTCAAATGATAAGTGGAATAAACTTTCAGTCCTAGTTTCTTTTTTCCTTCCTTTACCATCCTTCCCAGACAGGAATACTGTCTCAGACTGTCAAGTGAGCAATAATGAGCTTCCATTGTGTTTCAATTATTAGACATTTGGCGGTTTATTAGTTAAGTCAGCCAGGCCTATAGTAATGTTCCTAGAAATTCTCATAATGGCAAGAAGCATTCTTATTTCTTGAACCAAAATTTCAATGATTAGAATGAAAATCTTAGCTTATTTTCTTTGTATATAGTACCAGAAACTAATGGGTATTTTTATGTTCCCTAAGCCGAACCAGTGAATATTTTAGACACAATTATTCAGAAGGCTTTTTTTTGACAAATATAAATATGTGTGTGTGTGTGCATGCACATCTATACAATTTCTACTTAAAGCATTCTTATGTTTTTCTTACAATATTGTATTTATTAAATCTATTGGAAGATATTTGAAAAATTCAAGTTAATTAATTTATACATTGGATACATTTACTCAGACTTCTCAATGCATGCTACTTAACTTATATTCATTTCTGATAACTTCAGGGTTTTTTTGTGTGGTTATTTTTGTATGGAGTGCAATCTGTATTGTAGAAGAGCTAGTACTCAGAACTATGTCCATATTAGCTTTTTATTATTTCTCTATAAAACACAGAAACTCTCTAGACATTTTCCACAAATGTAAATGATGCAATTACTTGATATTTGGGTCAAATTAATGATGAGTCACAGTAGGATACATACAAAACAGACCTATAAAGCGATAAGGTCATTTCTAATAAAGCAAACCCAGAACTAAAGATCCAAATAAGTACTATTTCCTACAAAACAGTAGCTTTGAAAGGCTTGTGATGAAAACAGTTCTTGGCTGCTTCTTTTAGGAAAATACAGCGTTTTATATTTATACCTTTGTATCACACATACATACACATATGTACTCATGCAAACACATGCATGGTTCCCAAATATTACCCAGCATGACCAGTAAGCCAATCAGAAATATACATTTTAATCCATCTTTCATAAAAACCAGTTTGGTAAGAATTCACTAATAAGTGAGAAAATAAAGACAAACACATTTCAGTAAAACAGGTGGATTGTTTTCAAGGCCCTCTTTCCCTGGGGATTCAATGCTATATACTTCATTTTTTCAGAGCTCTTTCATTGTATACTTCCCAAGAATACTGAATTAACTTTTAATTAGAGAACTTCAGTAGTTGCTGGAAACAAAGATTCACAAATCAATGTATCATACATGTTTGGTTAAAGAAAAATAAAAATACAAAACATCTATATGTCTCACCTCCCATCAAACCTGTGCTTCAGGAAATCAAAGAGGGCTTTCTGCATCATGTCTGTTACCTTTGCAGAGGTGAGAAAAAAAGAATGAGGCAAACACGCAGAGAGAGAGAGAAGTCAAAAGGCAGAGAGATGGAAGGGAAGGGCATTGTGTCTGAGCAGAGACCTTAGCACAGCTAGTTGTTTCCTAGGGATCGTTTCCCATGGAAGGTGTTTTTCACACGTAATCAGGTGCAGTTGCTAATATCTCCCCCTTGGTCTTCCTCCACAGAGCTGAGGAATGAACGAATGGTGCTCACCACACCCAAGGCAAACTATCTTTCCTTATTAGGTGATAGATCTGCCACCAGGAGATAATAGGCTAGCTTTCCTGACTTGCACTTGTTTCTAGTGAAGAATAGTAAGAGGCCCCAATGTCAGCCCTGGGCTAGCTGTCCTGACAGTCTGTGCAAGTTGGTGGAAATTCTCTCTGCTCAGGACTGAATTTTTGTAGCTCATTTTCCTGCTCATCATCTGACATTTCCAACTCAGAGGAAGACAGAGACATGAGATTCTTAGATCTGCCTCAAGAGAACCATTAATTTATTCAACAAATACACACCAAATGCTGCTACATGTCTGACATTGCTCTAGGTCAGTGGTAATGGTGGGGTGGAGGTGGCCCACCTTCGGATTTTGTCCATGCTAACACAAAGCCAAAATGGCAACATCTGAAATGTCACACATGGAAGTCCCTACTCTTCTTTGTCACTTGGAATGGTTTAATTCATTTCCACAGTTCACTAAGATTTTTAATGTTTTTTTTCTTTATATTTCCTTTAAAATAAGTCAAAAGTCATTTGGTGGAATGTGCCAATGTTTTGAGCACCCAGTAGGGTGAGATTTGCTGGTACATCGAAGGTTTCGGTTTGCCGGAAGACTGCTTATGTATTCCTTTGTGCTGTTCATTCTCTTGTTCTAACAATAAAGGGAATGGCTGAGACAAACAAAATCCTTTTCCTTGAATTTCACGGGGACAAATTCTTTAACCAGAACTTCCCATTGTAAATGTTTTGAGGGGGCGATTTCTAAACACTGTAACGCATAAAAGATGAGCAGTGTGACAGGAAAGAAAGGGTCAAGGGTCATGTTGTACCACCTGCCTTCACATACTGAGAGCTGCCTTCCAAGAGTTCCTATCTGCAAACAGTCCCTGGAGTAGCAAGAGCCCAAGAGGACAGTCTCCTGGATTCTCAGTCAAGTACTGAAGAGTAACAGATGATATTTGTACCTCATAACCTTTCAGTGACGGCCCCACTAACACCACCGGACGCATTGACGGCACAACATCATAAGGAGGAATGTGCTCCGTCTGAAAAAGATGATTTGACATGCATGACAAGGTGAGGTTGAGCATATCTCTTCCACAACCACAACACTCATAACTCTCAGGTTGAACAATAAACGATCACCGAGGGTCCCCACCGAGGAGGCTGATCCCTTACTCTTTAGCCATTTGGGTCACTGAAATGGAGTATTGCAAGCATGTATGTATAGGAACCTTAAGAGTAAGTTTAAAAAGGAAACACAACTTACCACTTTTTGCTTCTGTTTTGCTAAAAGACAATAATGAGAGCCATATCAAAATACGTAATCTCTGTAAATGACAGTACATGAGATTAAAAGATGGAAGAATGTACCCATTTTGTCCCTGTAATTATCCTCATCACTGTCCTGTCATCTACTCTGTAAAGTCCTAGTCTATTGTTTCATTCTGGACAAGTCACTTTTTAAGATAAATGAAGAATGACTTTACATCCTGACTTCATGTTGAGTTGGGTGGTAGACAGGTGTTCATAACAGCACTAGAAGGTTTTAGCCAGCTGTTAACCATGGGCTGTTCCTGTGCTGAACACAGCACACAGTGTGCCTGAGGACAAGCTGGATTAATAAGATAAGATAAAAAGAAAGAGTAAAAATTTGAGCAAAAATGACTATCACCCAATCACTAGGGTTTTGTTGTTGTTGTTGTTTTGTTTGTTTGTATTTGTAACTTTGGTGAGATGATTTTGCAGGTCTTCAGACATTTTTACCAATTTTCTAGAATACTAATATATGTTTTTCTACAATGTTACTTTTACACTTCAAACCAATTGGTAGCTGGTTATTCCTGTTCTTTCTCTTGTTTGGAATAGTGAAAATATGCAATGCCCTGGATGTTTAGCAAATGGGAGTGAAACAAAACATACTCAATATCTGATGAAAGTAGCAGGTCCTGCTTATTTGGGGGCAACCTAGAAGTGTAGTTTACTTTAGAGGCCTAGAGATCAAGAAGGGTTCTCATGAACAAGGACCAGATCTTCAGAACTTTTCTAGAACCATTCCAATTTTGACATGCATGAACTGAGCCTTGGACCTGCCATTCTGAATTGGTAGTGCCAGATGTTCCAACGCAGCATCAGTTTTAGGCCAGAATGAAATTAGCCTGCAGAATCCAGAGAATATGATGGATGAAAAAATTCCTGGATGAGTAGCTCATAATTTTCAAAGATACAACAAATATTAAACCACCCCAACCCTTCATTGCCATTGATTCCAGGGCTCAGCTGTCTATTCTCCAAACAGACAGACAATGTCATCTGGGCTCTACTCCATTCTCCACTGCACACACATTTCATGTGGAGACTGACACTGCCTTGAGAGTCTACAACTTTTTTTATTCTTTTGGCCCTTACCATCTTAAAGTCTCTTGGATTCTTGGGTAAAATAATTAACTTGTTGAAAATTGGTTTACGGAATGGACAGTTACTAGCTGTAGGGGCAAATTTTTCAAAATTATAATGGTCTGAATTTTATATCATTATTACTGTTTAAGTCTAATCAAAATAACATAGAAAAGAAATGAGCAAAGAAATTTTAAATAAAAGAAGCGTTAAATCAAAACCTTTAATTTGTTTCCAAATGAGCAAAAATTCTTGCAAGAATATTCCAATATTAAAAAAGAAATTTATTCCATTAAAAAAAAGTTTAACTAAACCCCATACCTGTTGATGTGGGAGTTGCTCGAAATGTCCCTGACACCATTTCTCCAAGACTTGAAGAAGAATTTCCACTTGATTTCCTAGGATACAGAAGGGAACTTAAGACTCACTCCCCAGACTCTTTACAAATAGAAATTGAGAGTACAAAGCTTTCTTTGGCCTTCGTTCTATTCAATAATTCAAAACACACCAAATCCCGCTACAGAGAAGAACTTTAAGAATCTGTTCAAATGTTTTCTTTGACCTCGTTTCTTAGAGAAAGTGAAAAACTAACAGGGACCTAGAAATACTTTGCAAAAATATGTCTTCCAGGTATTCAATGCAGGAATTGAACAAAAGAATCCCTGGCAGGACTGCTCTTGTGAACTGCTTGCTTTCCTAACACCAATCACCAACGCACCAGGTGGAAGCCAAACACAGCTCAAAGCAAGAAATAAGACCAAGAAGAATTATTTCTTCTTAAAAATGATTCTGTGGGGTCAGAGTTAAGAATAGACAGTAAGGAGCTGGTCATAGAAGATAGTGTCTGTGACCTGAAATGCAAGTTCATTAGTGCTGGTTTCCTCGTGTGTGTTTTCCTGGGACCTACAGAGGCCCTCAGGAGTTTACCTTCCTACTTCGCATGTGTCCCTCCCTTTCAGAGATTAAGAGCATGACCCCTGTGGTCAGACAAATCTGCTTTCTTGTCCCAGCCTTATTATGGGACCTTGGCACATCACAGTATGTCTTTGAGCCTTAGTTTCCCTATCTTTAGATGCAGAAGCTACCTATTCCTTGTAGGGTTGCCATAGTGATGAAATAAGAGCCTGTCAGTGAGCTCTTGGCTTTACCATTGCTTCTGCCCCAAAGGAAGCTTTTAGTTCAAAAAATTTAATATTGTGGAATATTATTAACAGTAACAATAAAACTTTGAAAGAATGAACAAAATTTATTTATTATCTTATTTAACAAATACTGATTCTGTATCCCTGTTCTAGAAGCTAGGAAAACAACACTGGGGAGAGGCGAAATCTTTTCCCTTAATGAGTCAGTCACATTAGGTGATTCTAGTCACAAGAGGGAGAAATCAGGAGATGAAAAAGATAAATAGGTAAATGTATAATGTAGTATTTTTGAAAATAGTATGCAACAGAGAAAACTGTATCTGAAAAGGGATAGGGCATATGGAGACGCAGAGTGGGTACAATTCTAAATATAGTAGGCAGGAAAGGGTCATTGGAAACATGACATTTAACAAAGATCTGAAGCAGATGAAGAAGTGATCTGGAGAAAATGTAAGAAGAAACAGCAAATGCAAAGGCCAGGATGCAGAGCCTTGTGTTCCTGGTGTGTTAAGGACGAGCATGGAAGACATAAAGCCTAGAGAGGTCGGAGCAAGATTAATAATTCATAGCAGTTTAGGCATGCTATATACTAAAAAAGATTAATAATTAAAGTGGGGCTAACTGTACTTCTATGATTTCCTGTTACCAATGAAAAGGTTCCCATTGGGACAAAGGCAAAAGGGACCTTAAAGACTAAGAGTTATTGAAATAAACAAAGGTCCCAAAGAAAACAGAGGTTGAGGGTCGTAAGAAAGAACCGCTTCAGCTTGGCATGGTGGTGCACGGCTGTAATCCCAGCATTGGGGAGGCTGAGGCGGAATGAACAGCAGCTCCAACTCAGCCTGGGCTACATATTAAGACTCTGTCTCAATAAATAAATAAGTAAATAAATAAGAATTGCTTCTATTTGAGAACTTTCCAAAGATTATAAGCCATCAAAACCCTGCTTCAACGCAGGCTGCAGCACAGCACCTGCAGGCTCAGTATGACTCAGATTTCTTCCCTGGATTACTTCTCAAGCTGTGTATGTATTCTTGGGACCCTCCCTCCCTGCAGCCTGAGATCTACGCAGCTGCTTCATTAGGTCGTTGGAGGCTGATACACCTGGCCTGCACAGTGTCTTCACTCCAGTACCGGGAGGAGTAGGTGTCACAGAAGCTGGGGTCAGAAAGCAATCCCAGTACTGTCCATGAGCTATCATCTTCTGTGCCCACTCAGCAGTCTTTCGAAGTGAACCAAGAAAAGCCACAAGGCCAGGCAGGCCACGTCAGCTCCCACACGCAGTTTTGAGAAACACTGTATTGCGTGGCCCTTGCGGAGGAAAGCTTGGGCTCTGAGGAGGGTTTGCTGAGCCTCAGAAACTCACCACTGTGGATCGTGGGGATTCTGGGGGTGCTGGGCTTCAGAGTTCAGCGGGGATGGTGAAATCTGAAACGCTGTGTCAACCTCAGAAACAGCCCCACAGTGATAGATAGCTTTCACTTTAAAAGCAGACATTTTTAAATTGAATAAACAAACTTGAAAATATCATCCACTTTCCCTACAAAAATAAGAAAGGAAAAAAGGATGGAAGGAGGAAAGAAAGGGAGGGAAGAAGGGAGACAGAGAGAGAGGCAAGAAAGAAGAAAGGAAGGAAAAGAGGGAGGGAGAAAAGGAAGGAAGGAAGGAAGCATGGAAGGAAGGAAGGAAGGATGGAAAGAAGGAAGGAGGGAGGGGGGAGGGGGAGAGAGGAAAGTGAGAAAGGGAGGGAGGGAAGGAAGAGAGGAAGGAAGGCAGGTAGGCAGCCAGGAAGGAAGGAAGGAAAGAAGGAAGGAAGGAAAGGGGAAGGAGGAACCCTTTCGCAGAAAGGATGGGACTCACCCTCCGTGAAAGCGTCCCCTCTTTTGTTCCTGCTGAATCCTTATGTTCTCCAATCGGAGTGGACTTGGGATGAAGCCAATCTCACAGCCCTCTTTCACCAGCCTTCCTATCCACCAATCATTGTTGTATTTCTGGAATGCACAAAAAAACTGCTATCAAATAGTTATTCACCTATCTTCACATGCCAATTATTAATTTCAGGAGTCCTAAAGAACAAAACACTATTTATGTGCTATACTAGATCATATTGTATATATTATATATAAACCTATTTATATTATAATGTACTTGCTACTTTATGGTGAATATTTTAGGCTCACAGACTTTCACCTTCTGCAGAGTTTTTTCTGTCAAGGTCCAGATCATAGTATTTTAGGCTTTCCAGGCAATAAGTTCAGGCAATAAGATCTTTATGCCCAACTATTCGAATCTAGTTACTTGCTAGTGTGCAAATAACTACAGCCAAAGACAAACAAATGAGCATGGTTGTGTTTCAATAAAACTTTTCCTTACAAAGAGAAGGGGCCAGACAGAACCTGTGGGTTGTCATTTGCCAGCCCTTACTAAAATTAGGACCTAACTTTGGATTCCATTTGTCCTTGTCAAGAAGCTCTAACCAATTCTTAAGGAATGGGTTTTATCATGTAACATTTGTATCAATGAAGGTATATGGAACTGAAAGACAAGACAGAAATATCTAAGATGAAATACATTCAATACTCTGATATCTGTGAAAAACTTTCAGGTAAAATTGCTATTTGTAGTCTATACTTTTTCAAATATAGTTTTGTAAATTAAGGTCCACCTTACTATTTGAAGAAAAAGAAGCCTACTCTTTTACAAGATCTGAACATACTATGTATTTATATGCAGAATTTTGGAAATAACCTACAAATGGCCTGAACTACAAGCGCTCCGAAATATCCACTTAAATAGAGTTTCATGACATGTAAACTTGAGACACAGGTGCACACAAAGGTTTCACCCAATGTGGGATGAGACTCTGCCAACGTGGCCTTATTTGATGGGTCAGCAGAACTGCATTTGTAATTACTGACTTGCTGAATCCTAGGGCAGAAAGCAATGTGATCCAAGCAACCTGTCTTAGGGGAAGGTTTCCATGAGGTCGTTTCTACAAAATAGATAGTAATCCTACTGTAATCCTTAAGAGATGATTATAAAAACTTCCTTTATTATCTTCATTAGTGTTGAGCAAAAGAACACTTATGTATAAATGTATGTATCTTCATATATACATATACTTCAAAATATAGTAACTATATGTAGGACATTTTGCTTAGCTTAGAGGAAAGTAGGATTTACTTGTCTCTGATACTGACAGCTTGTGAAGGAAGAATGGATGGTTTCATTGAACCACTGCAGCATGAGATTCTGAGTAACTTTGAGTAATTCTGAGTAAGTCTCACACTCAAAAGAAAATGATATGGTGGGATTTGGCCTTTGTACTGCACACAGATCCTACACAGTCATGCACAGCATGAAGAATGACACTGCACTGAAAGGAATGTGAGCTGATCTGACAGAAAATCTTGAACAATCTAAATCTTAGTTTTTGCCCATTTTCCCATCTCTCTCTCTCTCTCTCTCTCTCTCTCTCTCTCTCTCTCCCTCTCTCTCCCTCTCTCTCTCTCTTTCTGCAATACTGGGGTTTGAATTCAGAACTTCACACTTGCTGGGCAGGCAATCTACTGTTTAAACCACACCGATGGCCCCCATTTTCCCTTTAATTTCAGGATAACATACCTGAAATAACAGGCCTGTTTATTTTGTAATTAAGAAAAGGCAAGTGGACCCTTTAAGAATCTTTGGTGCACAGGTCTGGAATTTAAATTTTACTGTGGTGGGGACAAAACAGTCCATGAGTCATAGTTTCCTAGGGCTTAAGTTACTTCCTGAAATTAAGTTAGCCCTCTGGAATACTAATTTGTTAAATGGTACCCAAGTGGCCTTCAAAGGGTTTCCTAAAATGGTCAATGCAACTTCCGCAAATGGTTTAACTTGGTTCTAGGAAGCAGCTAAAGTACAATGAAAGTCTGACTCAAGGTGAGTGAAAGTTCTTTGAGCTACTTAGGAGAAAGTCGATATGTAAATTCAAGAGCTTAATTCCATCATCATTTGGACAAGCATAGCTGTAGTTTTTCTCTGCCTTCAAGCTTCTGATTACTGAGAAAGTACTTAGAACGGTGCATAAGAGACGACCTTCCAGGTGATGGATGAGAGAAAAGGCCCAAACTTGATTATAGAAATGTGTTCATTTGTGTTGTTGATATTCTGGGAGTTTCTGCCAGCTTTCTGGAAAGGTCACTTTAGTAGTGATCCAATCTTTTCCATTTTGATTTCCCTAAAAGGATTAGCACTTTCCCTTTCTGAAGTTTTTCTTATCTGATCTTCCAAGATCTGAAAACAAGTGTCTCTGATCTATATAAGTTCGCCAGCTCAATACCATACCTCAAACAGCCAGATGGAAGCAAGTCCCTGATCAACAAGCACACAGATTCACAAGCTGTCAATAAGAAAAGTCAGAATATTGATAGAGGACTTGCAAGGCTCCAAACACAAAGCAATGATAAGGAGTTAGAGACATTAATTATCCTGATTTTAACAGTACACATGTATTGAAATATCATACTCTACCTCATCAATGTGTACAATTATTATGTTAATCAAAAACTTTTAAAAAAAGTTTGAGAAGAGAAATGCTAACTACCCTGATTTACATATTGTATACATATCAAATGACCACACTGTACCAATTAATTATGTCCAATTAAAATAATGATTAATAAAAAGAGAATACTGATATAAGGAAGAAGGCAGGGAAGCAATAGACTATAGCAAGGTTGGAACCCTTGGGTGAGTGAGCGTGTACATAACATGGGAGAACTTCTTACTTTGGAAACAATGGGTGTTAGTCACTAATAAATGTGGCTTGGTCATTTTTGATAGAAAGGGTGAGTCGTAACCAACCATTCAGATGCTGGGCACATGTTTCAGATCAAGGATCCTTGTCTTCTAGGCAGATATAGATATCCTTACCCCTTCTTCTTCCCTCCCTTCCCCCCATGGAGGAAGTAGAAGCCACCAAGTGAATGCTTCCTCAGCATTAACATGGTTCTCAGCTGTCTGCTCTTGACTCAACTTTTCCCTTAATGCCACAAGGAGTAAGCATTCCCCTTTCAAGGTCAGTCCCTCCACTCGGGATCTGGATCTCCTTACTTTCTGCCTACTTAAAAACTTTACCCATCTGCCCATTTCTCCTTCTCATCCATTTCTGCCCCCCTCAGTTGTTAACATCAACATGATGGAAGTGCATGCCTCCAATCTCAGCACTTGGGAGGTTGAAGCAGGAGGGTTGGGACTTCAAGCCTGGGCTTCAGATCCTTTCTCCAAAAGGAGGGTGGGGGAGCATGGTGATTCATAACTGTAATCCCAGCTACTTGGGAGGTGGGGATCAGGAGGATCATGGCCTGAGGCCAGTTTGGGCAAAAAAGTTAGTGAGACCCCCATCACCACCACCAAGCTGGGAGTTGCGGCATGTGCTTCTGTAGTCCCAGCTATGCTGCGGCATAGGTGCAGGAAGGAAGGAGGATCACAGTCCAAGGCTGGCCCTGAGCAAACACAAGACCTTATCCAAAAACTAACTAAAGCAATAAAGGGCTGGTGGAGTGACTCAAGTGGTACAAGCATCATGTTCCCAGTGTGCATCAGGCCCTGAGTTCAAACCCCAGTACTGCCAAACCAACAACAAAAACCCCCAAACCAACAACAAAAACCCCCAAACCAAAATGAACATGTGCAGGCGCTTTAGCAGTTCCCACCTTGAAAAAACCTCTTTTGACTTCATACCACCTTAGTCTACTGGCTGCATGTCAGCCTTGTGGAGAGTGCTGTATATCACGCTAACTAATTTCCTACTACCCCTGGCTTCATCTCCACAATCCACAGACAACAGTCCTACTGGGCTTCGTGCTGCTGATCTGGGCTGCAGGATGCAGGGTTTCAAAGACAGTGCTTTTCCGTCTTGATTATATATTTACCAGGCATGGCTCATTTTGGCCTGGGGTGGGGATGGTAAATGTAGGTGTCCTTGTGACATTAAGTGATGTGTTTATGTTGGTCACTTTCTTTAGGTACCTCCACACTCAAGTTTCCCTTTCCTGTTCTTCCTTCATGCTCTCTTTTCTCTAAGATTCTACTTCTAACCCCTCCCTCCTAGCACAGCAAGATCAAGTGGGAACATCTTCCAATGCATGCCCTCAGTCCTGTGCAAAAACTCTGTAGAACAAGTTGTTCAAAGGCGGCAGCACTTTCTTCCTCACTCAGCCTGTACCCTGTGCCCAGGCTCTGGATGTTGCCTCCTGCCCTCTTCTCCAGCCTCTCACTTATTAGCTGTCTGTTTTCCCTCCAATATATTTTACTAGGGTCAACATTTCACTATGGAAAATGGGCTTAAGCCTTTCCCATCCTAAAAAGCAAAAAATGTGTATCAGATTTGAAAAGCACTTGTTCAGGGCTGCGGATATAGTTCAATGGTAGAGTGCTCACCTCACATGTGCAAGACCCTGAGTTCAATCCCCAGCACTGCAAAAATGAATGAATGAATGAATGAATAAATAAATAATAAATGCACTTCTTCACCCTATAGTTTCTTCCCCTGGTCAAAACCCATTGTTCTTTTTAATTCAAAGCACTTAGATGAGATCAGGCACACTCAGGGTGGTGTGGTCATCGACAACTCAAAGCACTTAGAAAGAGCACACCAATTCCTCTCCTCTGGCCTCCAGATGATGTGGGTGAGGGCCTTTCAAGGATCTTCATGGGGAGGTTCACAGTGCCTCAGACATAGTGTGACCTGAAGCAAATTGATCACTATGCTGTCACCCCTGCAACAAATCTGCTCCTTCTCCACCTTCTCTGTTTTGATAGCTGATACCTGAGGCCGAGTCTCCTTTCTATCATTCCAAACAAGTTAGAAAAAGCTGCTGCTGCTCCACCTTTCTTTCTCCCTCACTTTCCCCACTGACCCCATCCACATGAAATCTCCAAATCTTGTTTATTTGCCCCTTGACTCTCTCCAAGCTGCTCCCCTTCTTCATTTCTCTCTGGCCTCTAGGGTGTCCAAACAGCCCTGTGCAATGCTCACTTGCCCATCAGAGTCTAACACACAAGGCTGGTCACATCTGTGCTTGATTGCAGATTCTTTCCCCAGCCTACTTTCTGGTGATAAAGAGAGGCTTCTTGCCATGGGTCAAGAGGTCCTTTTTAAATCTGGCCCTTGCCTCTCTGACCTGGTCCCTGCTCTGTATTTCTTCTACCCCTGCCCTCCAGCTACACTGCATAGCTTACTATTGTTCCTTCCACCAGATGCTGCTCCCCACCCTAGCCTGGACTCCCCACCTCTCACACACACACCCAGCTTCGTCACCCCTGGAGAGCTTCCTGGTCCCCTAATCTTCATCCTTCCTCACTACATGGCCCTTCCTCCTCTTTCTTGGGACTTCCACAATATGCATCCAATTATTCTATAATAGAATTTGTCATCCCATACAGAAACTATGTATATGTGTTCCTCCCACCAGACTCAGAGTTCCCTGTCCAAGGAACTGTGATCCTTGTTTCTGATCCTCCATTGCCCAGCACAAGGTCTGACATAAACCAGAATTTCAATGTACATGGCTGAATAAATGTAAGTTTTTGATGTTACTAGTCAATCTTTCTAGATTCTGGGCTTCAAGTTCTTATACTGTTCAACCCCTTAAGCTCTCTGTTTTCTCAGAATCCTCTGCCCTTTTTTAGCTTTAACTCTCTCTTTGAATGATTATGTAATCTACTGTTGGTTCCAAGATCACAGTTCACAGGACTATAGCCAGTGTCTATAATTATAACATCCTTTGCAAATGGTCCTTCCTGGGAACAAACTCTTGTTTCTCTAAGCTGGATCTATAGAGCTATGGCTCTGTAGCTACACAAGGTGATTAAAAGGTGAGCCGAGGGTATAGCTTTGTGGCAGAGTGCTTGCCAAGCATGTGTAAGGTCCTGAGTTTGATTCCCAACAATGGAAAAAAAAAAAAAAAGGTAAGTAGCAGGGCACAGATCTGCCCTAAATCTGTCCTACAATTTCAAAGGTGGACCATGATCCAAAGTTGCAATTGTGTGCTAATGTAGGCAATGATCTCAGGCTTTTAAATCTTGGTGAGAATGAATGCATGTGGAAGACCCAGAAAATTAAATAGGCACCACACTGGCAGCTCCTCAGATCTCCTCTCCAATTGGTTTGGTTCACAGCTGATCCCCAGCTTTGGCTTCTCGGCAGGATAAGGGATGCAGTATGGCCTACATTTACCTCTTTAATGTGTAGAAAGTCCTTGGCATCAAAAGAGATGGCAGTGCTCGGAACAGGCACATCTTCATCCAGGGCACCACAGTAGCTCACATTCGTCTTCACAGCAAATGCTACAGGTTTGGACTAGAGATAGAACCGCGAATAAGGAGTAAGGGAGGGAGGAAGAAAGAGCACTCTTCCTGTTGAAATGTATTATAAGATGACTAATGGTACCAGGCAGTAAGGGAAGTTACTTTCCAAAGAAGGATCAGCTGGGTTTTACATTACCAGACCATATCCAGAACTCTGCAGAAATGACTCTGAAATGACTGAGGCCCATCAGCCCATCAGCCCAGCCATCTTCTGTCTCCTGTGGTACCTTCCACCATCTTGAATGAAGAATGGTCCCCTAAAGTACTGGGAGGGATGGATGGACTGCTTTCTTGTCTACTCATAAAAGTTATTTATTTGAAATGGTAACAGATACCCTCCCACTTTGGGATATCGAAAAGGTGTACTAGGTGCTAAGAAAAAGTTGGGGGGGGGTGGGTAAAAGTATTTTAAAAATAGCCTCAGACCTGAAAAACCTATAAAATTCTATGCAGTAGAATACCTTGCCCTGCCAGGGGAGAGAAGGGCCAGTCTCAGTTAAAGCTGATGGGCTGGGTTCTTCATGCATCATTTTTTTCTTTTAGAGACAGGGTCTCACTATGTAGTCCAGGCTGCCCTTGAACTAGAGATCCTCCTGCCTCAGCCTCCTGAGTACTAAGATTACAGCTGTGAACCACCACACCTAGCTTCATGCATTATCTTCTCCCTAGTTCACAAAAACTGGCCTGGAAACTCTTTTTATGCAAATTCCTCTGAGCAAAGCGTTCTGAACAGGTGCGGCATTCTAGGGCTAAGCAGGCCACCAGCCTAAGCTAATGGTGTTAACACCAACATCTGCACAGTGGGCACAAAACATACTCTGCAAGAAAATTTCAGATAAGAATTGGCCACATATGAGACGCAAGGTTCCTGAAATTCTGGGGTGCATTGTTACTGCTTTGTTACTTGTCCTGGGAATATGGCTGGGGAGCAACAGTGGAGGGTCTGAACAGTGGAGGGCCCACACAGAGGAGGACCTATGTTGGAATCTCCCTGCTGAAAACCCCCTTCCATCTACAGACAGATGCCATTGATGTTGAAGCAGAGGCACCTCATTTACCTGCCTTATTCTCCTCTCACCATTTAAAAAAAATTTTATTGTAAAACTATAAAAGGGAGGCATTCACTTTATTTGGGCTTGAGTTTTTCTTCTAAAATTTAGAGCCTGGATCCACATACCATAGGAGTCTGTTAGGGGCTGGAGGAGTGGCTCAAGTGGTAATAGTGCCTGCCTAGCAAGCATGAGGCTCTGAGTTCAAATCCCAGTACCAAAAAAAAAGATAAAGATAAAGAAAAACCACAGGAGTCTGTTGCAGAGGGTAAGAGAAGAGGTTGGCCATAACCCTTGTCTCACATGTTGTTATTGTGCAAAATATTTCATTCTACAAAGGGGTCTCTGCTTTAAAAAAAAAAAAGGTTAGAAAGACATCAGATAGGAGATCTCTAGTGACTCTTTTGGTTTTAAAATTCACAACCTGCTCCTTGCTGTTTCCTGGGTCCCCAGGGAGAGGGATATCTGAAGATCTATTTGGGGAATGACCTTTAACACTCATCTTTGCTGTACTTGCCTGAGTTGTTCAAAGTTCTGAACTTAGACAGGTGTGGTGGTGCACACCTGTTGACTCAGTTACTCAGGAGATTGAGGGAGAAAGATCATTTGAGCCCATGAGTTTTAAGAACAGCCTGGGTAACCTAGCGAGACTCCTTCTCAAACAAACAAGCAAACAAACAAAAACAATAACAAAGTTCTGAACTTCATACTGAACTTGATGTAAGATATTGAAACCCAGAAATAGAAGAGTAGAGGAACCAATGGGGAGACCCACAGAGCAAAGTACATATGTGACCTGTAATAAAGGCTATGTAATGGACAGAGAGAGTCAAGAACAAGGGGCACGAGCTGGTACCGCAGAAGGCTCTCTGCCAAGATTGACACTGCTAAGTTGGAAGACAACCAATAATTCACCACCAAACCATACATAAAAGGTTGAAGGTTTTCAGGAAATGGGCTCCTGAGGATGCTACTAACCTCTCTTAGGGGTGAATGGACCAGAGAGCTCTGTAATCTGGAGCACTATCAGGACGATCAAGAAATGAGTATCTCAGAGAAAAGTGAGGCAGGGGAAGGGCAGCTGACAGCTGAGCTGGTCAGCAACATGCCAGTTGTGAATCAAAGAAGAGGAAGAAAGTCACCTTTGCTCTCTCAAGCTGAATAGCTGCTTGCTGTTCTCTCTCCTGCCGGATTGCTTCCCGGTCCTCCTCCAAAGAGACATCGGAGTCAGACGGCCTGCTTGTATAGGAATCTGCTGAACCCTGGGAAAAGAACGCAGAATAGCTTAAGTGAGGTGATGGGAAGCTTCTTAAATTGTCACAGCCATAACAGTACCCTGGGGTGAGCTCCTGTTACTTGCATAGAATTTGATGCGCACGCTTGGTGCCTTATTGCAGGGATAAATTTAGATGGCAGAATATAGTTAAGCGTCTGAGTTATTTCGAAGGTAGCAATGTGATGAAGGAAAATATTTTGACTAGATTAAGTGCTAGGAAGTAAACTGCAAGGAAAATGATATGATATTTAGCCCTAATTCTTGTTTAGTGCTATCTTTATATTAAGCCCATACTCATTGGTGGAACTTATGTTTGTTTTTGAACATACCATATTGCTAAAGGAAAAGGAGACTCAACCTATTACTAGAGCTAAATTGTACCTCTATCATGGGTTACAAATCATCAATGTGTCCAAGATCTCAACACAAAGCAGCATCCTACATTAATACAACCATTTTCCAGTTTCAAGGTCAATACTACTGAATTCTTTCACTATTAAAAGTTTGACCATTGTCCTACAGCAGCCCATATGTAGTCAATAGGACACTGAGCAGAAAAACACCTTGAGGATAAAAAACAGGGATGTTCACAATTGAAATCCATATCCAGAAAGGCTGTTTAACCATCACTGAACTCCAACCTGACTGATGTGGCCAAGGGACTGGGGTGCCCAGTGTCACTTGGTGCTAATGCCATTAGGACAGATGAAAAACAGAGCATTGAGTTAAAAACTTACCCCCCAAAAGGTAAATCACCCTGGAGGCTTGCCTTCTGGTTGCTAAAGGAATATCATCCTTACAATTTCCTTATTGCTAGTATTAGAAGTTGGTATTTGCATAGAGGATGACATTTACACAGTAGAGGTACTGATGGCACTGGTGTGGTTGGCACATTTCATAAATTATACTCAGGCATTTTTGGAAAGCATAGATCTAGCCACATAGTAGAGAACTGCTACCTATTGGAAAAAAGAGGAAAAGCACTCTAAGAAATGGCAAACAAACAAAAAGAAATGGTTGACTGTTGAAACTGGCCCTTTGGAAGTTTTTCTGAATTTAGAGACAGTTACTGTGAATTTGCTGCCTTTCAGGCAGCCTTGCCTCTCTGCAAAGGGGTGGTCTTTCCCACCATAGGAAAATTCCAGCACAGATTTTCCTGGCATCTGAGGACAATAACCAAGCCCTGGTTAGGGGTTTGGTCAGAGGGTCCAGGCAAGCTCTGGTCCTACATTCTGCCTAGACAATGCACTTCCAAAACCTTTATGTGCATTGTGGCTCACTCTGGGTCAATCTGCTGCTCTGTGAAAGACGACTAAATGGAGGGAACCACAATGGACAGCTAACATTCATCAGATGCTCACTGCTGCACTGGCACAGAAATAGACCCTTGGCAGATCTCATCATGCTGAATCCTTGCAGCAGTGGGGTAACTGTGATTTAAACTTGGTTAGTTCAACACTAGTGCTGGCAGCCCACACTGAGTTGCATTTAATATTAAAATGCTTAGCCCAGGGTCTGGAATAGTAGGCTCAAAATAATCCTTCTTAGCTCCGTTTCCTAGTGCTGATGTTTCTACATTGATTTGAAAAAGGAATTAATAGATACTACGCATGTTCAACTCAGTTATACATGAACAATAGTCCATTGCAAAAAAATTTTTTTGGTGGTACTGGGATTTGAATTCAGAGTCTCAAGTTTGCTAGGTAAGTGCTCTACCACTTGAGCCATGACCTCTGAGCCCGCCCATACTGAAATGTAGCCTTTTTCTTACTGTTTTTACTGCACAGAACACATGCTATAAATTTAATAATTTTTGCAATGGGTCCAAATCCACCTACATAATGTAGCACTTTTGAAAGTGCCCTTTACAGAGGAAAGACATTTGTTAACCAAATTGTAATTCAATTCCTCTGTGCAAATCTACTGGGGGAAAAAATCTGAACCTACAAAAGGGATAAATACAGGACGACTTTCATAGATGTGTGCGTTGCCAAAAAGAGAGCTACTCTGAAATCCTTCAAAACAGAGAGTTCTTGTGCTCATGCCTATAATTGGTAGGCAGAGATCAGGAGGATCACTGTTGAAGGTCAGCCCAAGAAAAAGTTAGCAAGACCCCATCTCACCAACAGTTGAGTATGGTCAGAGAGAGAGAGAGAGAGAGAGAGAGAGAGAGAGAGAGTGTTGTATGTATATGTGTATATACAGTTATTTAAAAAGCTATAAGAGAATGCATCTTAGCCAGGTGTTATTGTACACACTTGTAGTCCCAGCTACTTGGGAAGCTGAGGCAGAAGAGTTACTTGAGCCCAGGAGTTACAAGCCACCCTGGGCAACATAGCAAAACCCCTGTCTCAAAAAATAAATAAGTAAATAAGTAAATAAAGCATCCTAGTGAACATCAAAAGAAAGAACCATGTATCTTTCCATTCACATAACAGCCAGACTTGTTTTATTAGTGTTCAATATTGAAAAATATTGTGGCCTCACACTTTTCATGAGTCTTGAGTACAAAATACTGGCAGAAACATTGGAAAATTAGTCTCCTGGGAGAAGGAAAGTGACATCTACTGAAACAACAGAAGGGTCTCTCATTCCCAGAGGCGGTACATGACATGGGTAGATGAACAGCCATGGGTTCTGGAGTCAGATGCTGCTAGGTTTCTGCTGCCACCAGTCCTTCTTGGCTGTTGCTCTGAGGCCAGTTATCTTAACCTTCTGAGGCCCAGTTTCCTTCCTTTGCAGATTGGGACAATAATGAAGCCATTACAGTTTCCTGGTGTTTGATTCAAGATAGAACAGCATTTTTTTTTTTAACCATCATGGGGAAAATCCAGAAAATTTGAGTAATTCATCTTTGATTCCCTATTAAAGGTTTGGCAGCGTGTCAATATTCAACTTCATTTTTCCCAGAGTTCTAGGATATGCATCTTCTTTTTTAAAAAAAATGAAAGACAGCTCAGTGAGATATAGTTTATACAGCATAAGATTCACACAATTTAAGTGTACAATTCGATGATTTTAAATAAATTTACAGAGGGCAATTTTAGCCACACTCTAATATTAGAAACCCGATTTCCATATTCAGTCACCCTCATTTCCATCGCTAGACTTACTTATCTTGTCCTTTTAAAACTGAAACAAACCTTCTCTTTTTGAGCAATTTTAGAATGTAGACATAAAATTAAACAGAGCAAGAAGAAGGAAGGGTATACAAACGTTTGATTTCAAAATTCAATGACACTGAAACAGAATCTTGCTGTCGTTGGAACTGGTGGCCTTTGTAGTCCAACATCCTGGGTCTCCACTAGCTAGCTCAGCCGTCCATCCATGGGACACGGACAAGCCACCAGGTGCTGTGGAGCCACCACACACTAGACTTTTCCAAGACTCCTTCCTCATGTGCAAAACAGGAGTGAAACCCTGGCTCGGGGTTGTTTTGGGGAATGAAGAAGATAACATATGAACATCAGTGTACTAGCACAACGCTGGCACACACTAAGCCAGTGCTGTCCAGCAGAACTTTCTGCAATGATGGAAATATTCTGCTGTGGACACTGTCCACTTATGGTAGTCACAAGCCACAAGTGATGATGGGACACTTGAAATGTGACTAGAGAGACTGATACATTACTGAATTTTTAATCTAATTATTAAAGTTTTAAAATTTTATTTCCTGTTAATTAATTTAATTATAAACATCCACATGTAGATGGTGGCTACCATGCTGGGCTGTGCAGTAGGAGGCATTCAAAATGTCAGTGTCCTTTCTGGATCAGACAAGGGAAGAGTGACCTTGGTATAAATTTAATACATTAATAGCTGCATTTCGTGGACTAAGTGCATACAGAATGTCCAAAGACACAGAACACTCCCAATGGATTTGAGCCTGTCACTCCAAGTCTACATTTTTCCACACTGCAGAAGGAACACAGCCCAGATTTCCCAGGGTCGGTGGGTGATTGGCTCACTTACAAGACTGTCCTTTGCTTAAGAGTAACCTTCATATTTATAAGCTGTTCTCTCCCTTTCTTGCAGATACCTTTTCTTCTCCTTCAGGTCTATACAAAGCATGTCCAGAGCTCTTTGCTAGGGTACTCAGTCTACAGGGTCCCAGCCATGCCTCCAAGTACAAAGGCCTGAGCAGTGCTTGCACACGGGACCTTGAGTTTGTGGAAAGAAAAACATACCTATGCAGAGCACGGTGGCTCACACCTGCAATCCTAGCTACTTGGGAGGCTAAAAGCAGGGAGACCTGGTTCAGCGATAGCCTAGACAAAAGGTAAGAGAATTCTGGTCTGATGCTAGCCTAGGCAAAAACAACAAGACTATCTGAAAACGACCGATAGCAAAAAGGGCTGAAGGTATGACTCAAGTAGTGGAGCACTTGCCCAGCAATCATGAGGCCCTGAGTTCAAACCACAGTACCAAGACACACTGACTCCCATCACAATCTATCTATTCTTTGTTCCATGATTTTATGTTCTTCTTGGGTGGGTGATTAATTGATCAAGGCTCTGCTCAATTGTGATGTTAACTGTTACTCACCCCACCCTCACACAATGTGGTTTTGTTTTTGTTTTAATTGTGGTTTTCTACACGGTAATCCAGAGCACTGGGTAATGTGGACATTCCTAGGATCTTGGCAGAGGGAGAAACTGTTGATGTTGTTGCTCAGAGATGACAAGTTAACCTTTCTCTAAGGTTCCTGTGTAGATTCTTGTAAATAGGAGGTCTTCAAAAATATTGGTTGGATGAGTAAGACAAGTTGTGTTTACCACAGCCATACTTACTGGATCAAAGACCTAAGTTCAAGTCCAGCCATTGCTCGGATGATGCTTTCTTGTTGGCTTCAAAGAACCTTCCTGGTAGCAAGGGAGTGTGCTCAGTGCTCGTCAGTTCAGAGGAGAGGGGGGGAGAATGGTGTTCTTTCATCCCTCACTGCGTGTGACTCACTAACCAGGAAGTAGGTTCTGATTACCCCCACAGCTCAGGCCAGGTGTCTCTTCGT